TCCTTTTCCACAGGCAAAAAGCCTAAAAACTACGAAAGACAAGTTGTTTCTCTCCTGAGGTGTATACACATTTTTTTGGCAGAATCTGTATATATGTATACGGATTTCCGATGACATGAAGTGGAAAGATTATATTGAATCAATTGCTAAGTCTACTGCTAGGAAAGTTGATTCACTGTGTCGTGCTAAACATTTTTTTCTCACCAGAATCTATCTTACATATTTATAGGTCTACAAATCGTCCATGCTTTAAAAATTAATGCCACATATAATCCGGTGCTTCTGCTAAATACTTAGAGATTCTTGATAAAATCCAAAGAAGAATCTGTAATGTTATTGGTCGTGACCCGGCATCTCGGCTTCGGTTAATTTTGCACCTACATAACGTTGCTTCCTTATTTTTTTCTTTTCTTTTCTTTTTATGGGATTTATTCTGATGAACTTTCCCCTATGGTATCTAGACTTTGTGAATCTAAGCACAGTACTAGATTGGCAGCAAGGTCTCATCATTTTAAAGTTGAAATGGCTAGATGTGGGCATAAGTTCTATGCTGACAGTTTCTTCTCTCGTGCTTCTCGCTTGTGGAACTCTCTTCCGGCTTCTTGCATCGCAGTCAACTTTGATCTTCAAAAATTTAAATGCAGTGTCAATCGTTATGTTCTGTCTTCTTAATTCCTCTTCTTTTATTGTTCTCTCTCCTTAATAATTTTTTTTCTCATATTCTTTCACACTCAGGAGCCTTTGGCGTCTTGGTAGTTTTATTTGCTTTGCTTGTGGGTAAATTTTAAAAAAAGAAACAAAAAACACACAGTATTGTCAATACATCTGGGATGAATCTGCCAAATTTTCATTTTCAAGTCTTGATAGCGTTCAAAAACATTTGCCCGATCATGTTGATGTTAATTTTTTTCCACCCTACAACCACTTTCGCATCGACGAAACACCGATAGCCTCACGTTACAGGCTATTTTCACAGCCAGTAATAAATAGGTCTTCTAGTTAGAAGCTAGAATCGCCTTTCTGTATAGACTAAGTAAATCCGTTGAGGAAATACATTCTTTTCTTACTTTTCTTTCTATTTGGTATGTAATTACTCAACTCGCTTTCTATCCGCATGCAAGCGGGTTTTTAGAACTCTGGAGACGAGAGGAGGGTTTGTGATTCTCCAGACCACGGTGGTTGGTGTATGCTGATACTGAGAATAATTTCGGGCGTCAATTATTACAGGGGTGACCAAACCGCAGCTTGCAAGCCACATGCCGTTCTTTGACCTTTAATATACGGCTCGTGGAAATATGTTAGCTGAGCTTCTTTTTTTGATCACAGTTAAAGGTAAATAAGAAAAAATTCAAGCTTTATAATAGTTTTCTAGGCATGATTTGAAACGCCATTGGATTAAAACACAAGTTTAATATTCATGGTTAGTAAAAAAAAATATCTAAGAATTTTAATTCTAATTTTAATGCTACATCTGAGTGAGGTATTGCTTTTTCGGTGCTGATAGAAGGAATGGTGGGAGACAGAGGTTTAAAGAAATTTCTGGTCAGTAAGGGTTAAGGACGAATGTCACATGGCTGCGATCATCTTTTGCATCAAGTCTCTTCATCTATGAGCAGATTGTCCAGTATTCACTGCCACGCAGTAGAACAGATATCATGTAATTTTTTTGTTCTTTGTTTCTAACGAAATTTTTCTATCTCTTAATACTTTGCTTAGCTTTTACAAATTTCTATCTTTAACATTTTTAAGCAAAGAACCACTGACTTTAATACAATAATTGATCATTCTTGATAATTTCTGCTACCTATAGGGAATATGAAACATAAAGCGAATCTTTAAACCTTGTTTTAATGCTCCCCTTGAGTTACTCTCTCTCTTTCTCTCCGTTGAAGTCGGCCAGATATATTATTGCATTATCTGTCAGCTTTAATTAACCTTCTTACAGGCATGATTCCAACGAGACCACACAGAGAAAAACAGACACAATGTGTTATGTTGAAACAAGAATCGAACTCTACAGCGGCTGACCAAAACCGAACAGAAAAAAACTAGAGTGTATCTTCGTCTGTCTGTCTGTCTCAATCGTCATCATCTGTCTCCTTAAATCTTAGATTTTAGTGTCCTCAATCGTCATCTGTCTTCTTGAATTCTGGTCTTTTAGTGTCCTCAATCGTCATCTTCTGTCCCCTTAAATCCTAGTATTTTAGTGTCCTCAATCGTCATCTTCTGTCTCATTGAATCCTGGTCTTTTAGTGTCCTCAATCGTCAGCTTCTGTCTCCTTGAATCCTGGTCTTTTAGTGTCCTCAATCGTCATCTTCTGTCTCCTTGAATTCTGGCCTTTTAGTGTCCTCAATCGTCATCTTCTGTCTCATTGAATTGTGGTCTTTTAGTGTCCTCAATCGTCATCATCTATCTCTTTGAATTCTGGTCTTTTAGTGTCCTCAATCGTCATCTTCTGTCTCCTTGAATCCTGGTCTTTTAGTGTCCTCAATCGTAATCATCTATCTCTTTGAATTCTGGTCTTTTAGTGTCCGCAATCGTCATCATCTATCTCTTTGAATTCTGGCCTTTTAGTGTCCTCAATCGTCATCTTCTGTCTCATTGAATCCTGGTCTTTTAGTGTCCTCAATCCTCATGTTTGTCTTCTTGAATCCTGGTCTTTTAGTGTCCTCAATCGTCATCTGCTGTCTCCTTGAATTCTGGTCTTTTTGTGTCCTCAATCGTCATCATCTATCTCTTTGAATTCTGGTCTTTTAGTGTCCTCAGTCGTCCTCTTCTGTCTCCTTAAATCCTGGTCTTTTAGTGTCCGCAATCGTCATCTTCTGTCTCCTTGAATTCTGGTCTTTTAGTGTCCTCAATCGTCATCATGTATCTCTTTGAATTCTGGTCTTTTAGTGTCCTCAATCATCCTCTTCTGTCTCCTTGAATCCTGGTCTTTTAGTGTCCTCAATCGTCATCTTCTGTCTCCTTGAATCCTGGTCTTTTAGTGTCCTCAATCGTCATCTTCTGTCTCCTTGAATCCTGGTCTTTTAGTGTCCCCAATCGTCATTTCTGTCTCCTTGAATCCTGGTCTTTTAGTGTCCTCAATCGTCATCTTCTGTCTCCTTGAATTCTGGTCTTTTAATCTCCAATCCTTATCTTTTCTCTCCATGAATCCTGCCCTCCTAACATTTTCTCAGTTTCTTTCACACTATTTAATCCCTTGTGTCTTAGGGGCTTTATTGTCTTGTTTTGGCTGAAAAAAAAAGATATGCACAAGGTTATTATGTGTATCGATTTGGGAATACGGACACTTCGCATCATTACTTTGCAGAACGGACATCCAAAAGGATGCTTCCCCAATCACTACAAGTCTAGGGTCAACTATTATCTTTCTTATATGATCTTGTTACCTCCTCTTCTTATGTTCCTACAGCAACCTCATGTGACACAAACAAATCTAAACACTTCTGGCTGTCAGCCATCTTTTCCAGATTAAAGATAAGATACAAAACTCTAGAAGCCATATATGTGGTCTTCTGGCTGATTAATTATTTTCTACCAAACAACCCCTACAATCCCACAAATGCAATGTTCCAAGCTGCTTAACACTGTATCTATAGAAAATGTTTCGTTAAGCTTCATTCTTGAGTTCCATTAGTTCAGACCTTTAAGGCTAAGACCCACCATGCCTCATACACTGAGGTGAACCTTCCTCATCTCTTTCATTTTTCATTGATAATAAGCAAGTTTCATTTGGACAGAGTTTCTTCACAAAAACTGCAGCTTTGTAGAAAAGACTCTTGAGTGGATGCTTCCTTAACTACTATAATTTAAACCTACTCAAGTCTAGGGTCAACCATTATCCAATGTATATATCTGCATCATCCGCAATTCTAACCTCCTCCTCTTACATCCATAATCTGGCAGCAAGGCCTCTGATCAGGAGGTTTTGAGGAGCATAGAACCCCCTCTTAACTGCTGCTGTTCACAAGTCCACCCTGACCTGGGATGGTAACACCTGTTAGGGTCCCAGCTATAGGCAAATAGTGAAACCCTTTAGCAAATACTATGAAAGTGTGATTGTGCATTTTTGTTGTAAAAATACCAACAATGCATTTTTGTATAAGGAAATTACCAACAATGCATATTTATAGTAAAATGACCGACAATATATTTTTAAAGTAAAATGATCAGCAGTGCATTTTATAGTAGAATTACTAAGAATGCATTTTATAGCAAAATGACCAATGATACATTTTATCTGTAGTTGAGAGGATGCAACTATGGTTAGAATATATTTAGTTGAAGCCATAAAACTGTGATCAAAATATTTAGATTTCAGCATTAAATAGAGGTTGATATGCCACTAGCCAAAATCAACCAAACAACTAACATGAAAGAATTCTTTCATGACATTAATCTATATAATATCCTACAATTTCAAGCACACATATTAATATCTCTAGTAATTATGTCCACACAAACATGTATATGCACAAAAGCTGAGCATTATCTACCATGTATTCAACTGTGAAAGCAGAATAACATATATCATATTTTTATGGCTTCAAAGCTCCCAAAAAAAGAAAATTTTAGCACTAAATGACCCACAGGGAGTTGATATGCAATTAAACAAATCAACCAATCAAAAAAGATCTTACAAGAATGATGCAACCACATTCACTAACACTCTAGTTTGAGTGGCTTTTTATTGGATGAAACAGAAAAAACAATTGTCAGTTGAAACCAAATATGGAATCCAGTTTATCTACTATCATTATTTTCTTGCTGAGAATAATCTACCAACAGTGGACTAAAAGCTTGCCATTGAAATCATTATAACTCAAGTTTTTCATAACAGTTTTCCTTTTATTAAGACTGAAATCCAAAAAATTAAAAATATAGAGTTTAATGATTTGAAAGTTTACTTCCATAGAAAATTGCAGGATGAGATTGGGGTGCTTGGAGGATGTTTCAGATAAGGTTTCAAAAATTCCAATCTTATATTTTCATTCACCAAAGACTCAAGGCTGTATTTTAGCTTGATCTGATCTTTTTCATCTTCTTGATTTGGGCTGCCTTTATCTTTTTTCATTGTTTTCAAGTAGTTACGTGTAGCTGGGGACAGCAGATTACTCAGGCTTTCTTTAATCCCTTTAAGAAAAAAAGAGAAAAGAAAATATTAAAATAGAGAAAGTGGGAACATTTACAATAGCAGAAAAAGCAAGAGGAATTATTTAAAGAAGAGGAAGAGCAAAAAGAAGATAAAAGGGAGAGCATTAAAAGAAGAGAAAGGGAAATAATTAAAAAAAAATGAAATATTTGAAGAAGAAGAAGAAGAAGAGGATAAAAGAGAGAACATTTAAAAAAGAATAAATAGAAAGAGAAAATATTTCAAGAAGAAGAAAGAAAGAGAAAATATTTCAAGAAGAAAGAAAGAAAGAGAAAATATTTCAAGAAGAAAGAAAGAAAGAGAAAAGAAGAAGAAGAAAGAAAGAGAAAATATTTCAAGAAGAAGAAAGAAAGAGAAAATATTTCAAGAAGAAAGAAAGAAAGAGAAAATATTTCAAGAAGAAGAAAGAAAGAGAAAACATTTCAAGAAGAAAGAAAGAAAGAGAAAACATTTCAAGAAGAAAGAAAGAAAGAGAAAATATTTCAAGAAGAAGAAAGAAAGAGAAAACATTTCAAGAAGAAAGAAAGAGAAAATATTTCAAGAAGAAGAAAGAAAGAAAACATTTCAAGAAGAAGAAAGAAAGAGAAAAAAAGAAGAAGAAAGAGAAAAAATCAAGAAGAAGAAAGAAAGAGAAAACATTTCAAGAAGAAGAAGAAAGAGAAAATATTTCAAGAAGAAAGAAAGAGAAAATATTTCAAGACGAAAGAAAGAAAGAGAAAAATTTCAAGAAGAAGAAAGAAAAGAAAATATTTCAAGAAGAAGAAAGAAAAGAAAAATATTTCAAGAAGAAGAAAGAAAAATATCAAGAAAAAGAAAGAGAAAATATTTCAAGAAGAAGAAAGAAAGAAAAACATTTCAAGAAGAAAGAAAGAAAGAGAAAATATTTCAAGAAGAAGAAAAAAGAAAGAGAAAATATTTCAAGAAGAAGAAAAGAAAGAGAAAATATTTCAAGAAGAAGAAAGAAAGAGAAAATATTTCAAGAAGAAAGAAAGAAAGAGAAAATATTTCAAGAAGAAGAAAGAAAGAAAATATTTCAAGAAGAAGAAAATATTTCAAGAAGAAAGAAAGAAAGAGAAAATATTTCAAGAAGAAAGAAAGAGAAAACATTTCAAGAAGAAGAAAGAAAGAGAAAACATTTCAAGAAGAAAGAAAGAAAGAGAAAATATTTCAAGAAGAAGAAAGAAAGAGAAAATATTTCAAGAAGAAGAAAGAAAGAGAAAACATTTCAAGAAGAAGAAAGAAAGAGAAAATATTTCAAGAAGAAGAAAGAAAGAGAAAATATTTCAAGAAGAAAGAAAGAAAGAGAAAATATTTCAAGAAGAAGAAGAAAGAAAGAAAAATATTTCAAGAAAAGAAAGAAAGAGAAAATATTTCAAGAAGAAAGAAAGAAAGAGAAAATATTTCAAGAAGAAAGAAAGAAAAAGAGAAAATATTTCAAGAAGAAGAAAAGAAAGAGAAAATATTTCAAGAAGAAGAAAGAAAGAAAGAGAAAATATTTCAAGAAGAAAGAAAGAAAGAGAAAATATTTCAAGAAGAAGAGAAAGAGAAAATATTTCAAGAAGAAAAGAGAAAATATTTCAAGAAGAAAGAAAAGAAAAAATATTTCAAGAAGAAAGAAAGAGAAAATATTTCAAGAAGAAGAAAAAAAAAGAAAACATTTCAAGAAGAAAGAAAGAAAGAGAAAACATTTCAAGAAGAAAGAAAGAAAGAGAAAATATTTCAAGAAGAAGAAAGAAAGAGAAAACATTTCAAGAAAGAAAGAAAGAGAAAATATTTCAAGAAGAAAGAAAGAGAAAATATTTCAAGAAGAAGAAAGAAAGAGAAAACATTTCAAGAAGAAAGAAAGAAAGAGAAAATATTTCAAGAAGAAGAAAGAGAAAATATTTCAAGAAGAAGAAAGAAAGAGAAAACATTTCAAGAAGAAGAAAGAAAGAGAAAATATTTCAAGAAGAAAGAAAGAAAGAGAAAATATTTCAAGACGAAAGAAAGAAAGAGAAAATATTTCAAGAAGAAGAAAGAAAGAGAAAATATTTCAAGAAGAAGAAAGAAAGAGAAAATATTTCAAGAAGAAGAAAGAAAGAGAAAATATTTCAAGAAGAAGAAAGAAAGAGAAAATATTTCAAGAAGAAAGAAAGAAAAGAAAATATTTCAAGACGAAAAAGAAAGAAAGAGAAAATAAAGAAAAAGAAAGAGAAAAATATTTCAAGAAGAAAGAAAAAAGAGAAAATATTTCAAGAAAAAAAGAAAGAGAAAATATTTCAAGAAGAAGAAAGAAAAGAAAATATTTCAAGAAGAAGAAAGAGAAAAAATTTCAAGAAGAAGAAAAAGAAAGAGAAAATATTTCAAGAAGAAAGAAAGAGAAAATATTTCAAGAAGAAGAAAGAAAGAGAAAATATTTCAAGAAGAAGAAAGAAAGAGAAAATATTTCAAGAAGAAGAAAGAAAAGAAAATATTTTTCAAGAAAAAGAAAGAAAGAAAATATTTCAAGAAGAAGAAAGAGAAAATATTTCAAGAAGAAAGAAAGAAAAGAAAATATTCAAGAAGAAAGAAAGAAAGAGAAAATATTTCAAGAAGAAGAAAGAAAGAGAAAATATTTCAAGAAGAAAGAAAGAAAGAGAGAAAAAAAAGAAAGAGAAAATATTTCAAGAAAAGAAAGAAAGAGAAAATATTTCAAGAAGAAGAAAGAAAAAGAAAAAATTTCAAGAAAAAGAAAGAAAGAGAAAATATTTCAAGAAGAAAGAAAGAAAGAGAAAATATTTCAAGAAGAAGAAAGAAAGAGAAAATATTTCAAGAAGAAAGAAAGAAAGAGAAAATATTTCAAGAAGAAGAAGAAAGAAAATATTTCAAGAAGAAGAAAGAAAGAGAAAATATTTCAAGAAGAAAGAAAGAAAGAAAAATATTTCAAGAAGAAAAGAAAGAGAAAAATATTTCAAGAAGAAAGAAAGAAAGAGAAAATATTTCAGGAAGAAAGAAAGAAAAGAAAGAGAAAAACATTTCAAGAAAAAGAAAGAAAGAGAAAATATTTCAAGAAGAAAAAAGAAAGAAATAAAAAAGAAAGAGAAAATATTTCAAGAAGAAAGAAGAAAAATTTCAAGAAGAAAAAAAGAAAGAGAAAATATTTAAGAAGAAGAAAGAAAGAGAAAATATTTCAAGAAGAAGAAAGAAAGAGAAAATATTTCAAGAAGAAAAAAGAAAGAGAAAATATTTCAAGAAAAGAAAGAAAAGAGAAAAACATTTCAAGAAAAAGAAAGAAAGAAAATATTTCAAGAAGAAAGAAAGAAAGAGAAAATATTTCAAGAAGAAAGAAAAGAAAGAAGAAGAAAGAAAATATTTCAAGAAGAAAGAAAGAAAGAGAAAATATTTCAAGAAGAAGAAAGAAAGAGAAAATATTTCAAGAAGAAGAAAGAAAGAGAAAACATTTCAAGAAGAAAGAAAGAAAGAGAAAATATTTCAAGAAGAAAGAAAGAAAGAGAAAATATTTCAAGAAGAAGAAAGAAAGAGAAAACATTTCAAGAAGAAAGAAAGAAAGAAAGAGAAAACATTTCAAGAAGAAAGAAAGAAAGAGAAAATATTTCAAGAAGAAAGAAAGAAAGAGAAAATATTTCAAGAAGAAGAAAGAAAGAGAAAATATTTCAAGAAGAAGAAAGAAAGAGAAAATATTTCAAGAAGAAAGAAAGAAAGAGAAAATATTTCAAGAAGAAGAAAGAAAGAGAAAATATTTCAAGAAGAAGAAAGAAAGAGAAAATATTTCAAGAAGAAAGAAAGAAAGAGAAAACATTTCAAGAAGAAAGAAAGAAAGAGAAAATATTTCAAGAAGAAAGAAAGAAAGAGAAAATATTTCAAGAAGAAGAAAGAAAGAAAGAAAGAAAGAAAGAGAAAATATTTCAAGAAGAAAGAAAGAAAGAGAAAATATTTCAAGAAGAAGAAAGAAAGAGAAAATATTTCAAGAAGAAGAAAGAAAGAGAAAACATTTCAAGAAGAAAAGAAAGAAAGAGAAAAAAGAAGAAGAAAGAAAGAAAGAGAAAAATTTCAAGAAGAAAGAAAGAAAGAAAGAAAATATTTCAAGAAGAAAAAAGAAAGAGAAAATATTTCAAGAAGAAAGAAAGAGAAAATATTTCAAGAAGAAAAAGAAAGAGAAAATAAAGAAAGAGAAAATATTTCAAGAAAAGAAAGAAAGAGAAAATATTTCAAGAAGAAGAAAGAAAGAGAAAATATTTCAAGAAGAAGAAAAAGAAAGAGAAAATATTTCAAGAAGAAAGAAAGAAAGAGAAAATATTTCAAGAAGAAAGAAAGAAAGAGAAAATATTTCAAGAAGAAGAAAGAAAAGAAAAATATTTCAAGAAGAAAGAAAGAAAAAAGAAAGAAAGAAAGAAAGAAAATATTTCAAGAAGAAGAAAGAAAGAGAAAAGAAGAAGAAAGAAAGAAAAGAGAAAATATTTCAAGAAGAAGAAAGAAAGAGAAAATATTTCAAGAAGAAAGAAAGAAAGAGAAAATATTTCAAGAAGAAGAAAGAAAGAGAAAACATTTCAAGAAGAAAGAAAGAAAAGAAAAATTTCAAGAAGAAAAAAGAAAGAGAAAATATTTCAAGAAGAAGAAAGAAAGAGAAAAATTTCAAGAAGAAAGAAAGAAAGAGAAAATATTTCAAGAAGAAGAAAGAAAGAGAAAAATTTCAAGAAGAAAGAAAGAAAGAAAAAAAATATTTCAAGAAGAAGAAAGAAAGAGAAAATATTTCAAGAAGAAAGAAAAGAAAGAAAATATTTCAAGAAGAAGAAAGAAAGAGAAAATATTTCAAGAAGAAAGAAAGAAAGAGAAAATATTTCAAGAAAAAGAAAGAGAAAAATATTTCAAGAAGAAAGAAAAAAAGAGAAAATATTTCAAGAAGAAAGAAAGAAAAGAAAATATTTCAAGAAGAAAGAAAGAAAGAGAAAATATTTCAAGAAGAAAGAAAGAAAAGAAAATATTTCAAGAAGAAAGAAAGAAAGAAAATATTTCAAGAAGAAGAAAAAGAAAGAGAAAATATTTCAAGAAAAGAAAGAAAAAAAATTTCAAGAAGAAAGAAAGAAAAGAAAAAATTTCAAGAAGAAGAAAGAAAGAGAAAATATTTCAAGAAGAAGAAAGAAAGAGAAAATATTTCAAGAAGAAAGAAAGAAAGAGAAAATATTTCAAGAAGAAAGAAAGAAAGAGAAAATAAAGAAGAAAGAAAGAAAGAGAAGATTTCAAGAAGAAGAAAGAAAGAAAGAGAAAATATTTCAAGAAGAAAAGAAAGAAAGAGAAAATATTTCAAGAAGAAAGAAAGAAAGAAAATATTTCAAGAAGAAGAAAGAAAGAAAAATATTTCAAGAAGAAAGAAAGAAAGAGAAAATATTTCAAGAAGAAAGAAAGAAAGAGAAAATATTTCAAGAAAAGAAAGAAAGAGAAAATTTCAAGAAGAAAGAAAGAAAAGAGAAAATATTTCAAGAAGAAAGAAAGAAAGAGAAAATATTTCAAGAAGAAGAAAAAAGAAAGAGAAA